ACCAATTTGGTTTCATACCGGATTGTACAGGAAAGGTTTCGCTTTTCGATATCATAAAAACAAAGTTGAGAAAAGTTAAATTAAATCGTTGCCCTTGTATAAGAGTCGCTTAACTTTCGGACAGCAGCAGTTATGTTCGTTCTTCCTTATCTCTATTGCTTTCTTTTTATATTTGTTTCTTGTTCTAGTTGGGTTTAGTTTGAACCACTTCCCCCACGCCCCACCTAGCCACTCTGGTGGTATGTGTTTCATTATCTTAAGTAGGAGCCAAAGCAAGATATGGTTGCGGATATTTTCTTGCGTCAAGGCCAGCAAGGCTCAATGCTATAAAACTTGTGCCGCCCACTGCCAGATGGCGCCACAGTATAAGACAAATATTCGTGTGCGTGTGTGTGTGTGTGTCTGCCCATTTTTCAAGTTCAGCTATGCCTCTTCTTGTTTCTTTATATTAATAGTTGTTGCACACACACAACACACACACACACACACACACACATGAATATTATAAAAATACAATTGAAATGATGGCATTTACATACATAGTTAAATGAATGGGTGGCAATGTCAACAGCAGCGGCGACGGCTCGCAGCTCATTACAAAATATAATGCAGATGTGTACACACTGTAGGCATACACACACACACATGCATACATACACACAGTCATGTGCAGCTGTTGGCAATTTCAAATTAATTCTTTCCTTTTTCTCGCAAAAACAATAAATAATATGAATAAGAATAGTGTGTGTGCGGGCAGAAGGGGCAGTGTTGCCACATTTATTTCTACATATTTATTATTTAACTATTGAAGTTAATTATGATTGTGACTTCTAAATTACAAAAACAAAATATGCATAGAGAAACGAAGAGGAAAACAGATCTCAGGCGCTAGCGGTAAACAAATAAGCGCAAACAGCGCCTGTGTATGGGTGGGAAGGGGTTACCGTTAGTAATTAATATTTGATATGTATGCATGTATGTTTATTTGTATGTATATAATAAATACATATATACACACACGATCATAAAAATAAACGACTCCAGCTACAGTCGCCACATTATAAATGCGTGCTCACGACAAAACACACAAAATAATAATAAAAAAAACACAAAACCCAAAAAGCAAAAAAAAAAAAAACGATAAACGAAAAACGAATTTTTGCAGCATTTATGGGCCGTGTATAATTTATTTGTTATTGACGTTTTGATTGTCTGACAATATTTAGCGAGGATTGCATTTACAGGCTGCAGGGCAGCACACACACACACACCCGTACATACATATGATATATTGATGTGCCTAGTTGTCTGTATGTTTAACGAATTTAGGGCATCAGAGGCCATTTGACCAATCGAATTTTACATATACAAATATATATATGTATATACGCACAAGCTGCGTGTGCATGCCTTCGTGCTCGTGTGTATGCATATGTGTATGAGTGCGTAAGGCAACGTGAGAGGCTTGTTTACAGCCAAAGCACTTGACCTTTAAATGTAATTAAAAGCCAGAAAACATGTTAATACATTGATTTCAAATTGGAATACCGTGAAAAATTGTTTGTTTGCAGCATTTATCGAGAAAAAAGGAAAAAAAAAAAACAATACACACGCAAGCATTCAGCGAAGCCAACAACAATAACAGCTAAAACAGTTAACAGTTGTTATCGAATTTACACGAAATGGAAAAAAAAAAACACATTTGCTTTGGATTTAATTGACCACAGCCAGACAAACGACGGACGGATAGACGGCGACAGCGAGTGACAGCCAAGCATCATATTTATTTATATGTACTCGCACATACACACACAGGAACGCACAAAGCCTGTGTATACAAGCGTGCATGTGTAAATAAAAACATTAAAATCCCCTTTGGGCCGATCGAAATTGGATATTCCAATTGGAATTCGCAAAAAGGCAGCCGAGTTGGAAAATGTGGTACACACATAGTTGTACCTTTAAGTACCTAACGTTTATATATGTATATACAAAAATTAATATATATATATACTACATATGACTGTCGCGCACGTAAATATGTAGGTGTTTGCATATCTGTGCATGTGTGTGTGTGTGTTTGCAGGTTGTACAATATGATGGATGCGTGATAAAAACGAAAGCGAACAGCAAAAAAATAATGAGAAAAAACTTGGTAATCGTAATCGCTCGTATTCTTACTGTAAATGGTATGCCTTCCACGGAGCCAATGGCGAAGCACCGGTCACCTGCATTGCAGGCACCGCTCAATATTTGATGACAATTCATTATTTGTTACAATTGGATATCACATCACAGCGCACAAAGTAATATTCTTGGTTCTTTGGTTTGGTTACTAGCACGAATTTTTCTTTGTAAAACGACAACAAAGTGATGAGTGACATTACATAAAAATGTAGGCCAAATAGTGATGGACGCTATCGACTAGTGTAGTATCGAACGGAGTTAGTGTCTAACTGTCGTATCGATACGTACACAACAAGTTATGGGGTTCTAAACAAAATACCTTATCGATATCAAATATTTGCTAGCATATTTGACATACTTTTCTATCGATATATCGACAAATCGCCTACTAATTTGCAACACTGTGACAATCCAAACGCCGTGTATGGTTTGACTGCTTGCATGGAGTTAGAAATTGTAAAATCGTAGTCATTGGTTTTGTATTAGTTTAGCATATATTCCAATAGCAAAATGGCCGCTGGTCCAATTGCTGAACGTAACCAAGGTAAGCAATCGCTACACATATACATTTACTTGTTAAACTCAAACTTAACGCACACCTCCAAAATAGATGCCACCATTTATGCCGGCGGTCTGGACGACAAAGTATCGGAGACGTTGCTGTGGGAGCTCTTCGTCCAAGCCGGTCCAGTTGGTAAGTTAAACTGAATAGGCAGCATTCCGTTTCATATAACTGTTGTATCTCGCAGTCAACGTGCACATGCCCAAGGATCGTGTCACTCAGATGCATCAGGGATACGGATTTGTTGAGTTCCTAAGTGAAGAGGACGCTGATTATGCGATTAAAATCATGAACATGATTAAGCTGTATGGCAAGCCTATACGTGTTAACAAGGCGTCAGCACATCAAAAGAATCTCGACGTTGGCGCCAATATATTTATTGGTAATCTGGATGTCGAGGTGGATGAGAAGCTGCTCTACGATACCTTCTCCGCATTTGGAGTCATCTTGCAAACGCCAAAGATTATGCGTGACCCAGAGACGGGCAAATCCAAAGGGTTCGCCTTCATCAACTTTGCCAGCTTCGAGGCTAGCGATGCTGCCATGGATGCCATGAACGGACAATATCTGTGCAATCGCCCCATCTCTGTTTCATATGCCTTCAAGAAGGATCACAAGGGCGAACGCCACGGCTCGGCAGCTGAACGTTTGCTGGCCGCCCAGAATCCCTCGGCGCATGCGGATCGACCACATCAACTGTTTGCCGATGCGCCCGTACAGAATATGATGCCAGTTATGCCTGGCCAGATGATGCCGCCACCAATGATGGCACCGCCGCCACCAGTGGTGCCCGTGTCGGCCACCAATATGGGCATGATAGCACCACCGCCACCGGTGCCGCAGCCGACACCGTTCCCAGCTACCATACCACCGCCACCGCTACCGCCGATGGGCGGTGGGCAGCCGCCACTACCTCCCTCCATGGGCATACCGCCGCCGCCACGCATGCTCCAGCCTCCAAATGCCTGGGCACCACCCGGCATGCCAGCACCGCCGCCGCGTCCGCCGCCAACAAATTGGCGTCCGCCGCCCGTGCCCTTTGCGCCGGCTCAGTTCTCTCGTCCCTATCAACCCGATGGCTACCAGTACTAGGTCATCCCACTATTGTATAGCCTTAGTTCGTAGTTATACAATTTTTAAGACGACCCAATAAAACCGACAACAAATTTTTATAATAACACCAAGAAAACCAATTGATTGATTTATATAACCTGATGGCTTAAACGAAATCCTGAGCTTTGGGTGTAAATAATTTGATAGTTTCAGATTTAGCAGGGCAAGAGAAAAGAAATAGGGAGACGGTGAGATGGATCTTACCTATGGGTACCAATATCTAAGATACAATGGATAGAGAGAGAGGAAAGGTGTCAGAGAGAGAGAGAGAGGAAGATTCCGTAATTAGCTGAAAAATCTATATAATTGAATATCATTTCCTAGTCTCTATATAGAAACAGGGAGAGAGAGAGAGAGAGATTGAGTTTCACATCCCTATCCGTATCCAACCATTAGCCAAAACATGTACAATATTGTAGAGGACTATCATGTCCTAATTGATGTACTATAACAAGACAGAGAGAGAGAGAGAATTCATTCCTTTTTTTTTTAGTTTTTTTTTTTTTTTGGTGAATTATTTTATTCGTAACATTTTGAATAAAGAACAAACGATTTATCCAATATCCGAGACTTGGTAGATCACAGCTTAACTGCAGATCAAAGCAGATCGGATAGGATCGAATCATATAGTACAATATTTATAATATCGATTTACTATATCGATATAGCACATACAACATTTATAGCATTAATAATATAATATATCAATTTGCCTTCTTCACTTCTTTTCTTTTTTTTAATAATATTGTCACCGAAAAATGTTCACAAGTTTTTTTTTTCTCAAAATAGTTGTCCAAAAAGTTATTTCAAAATTATGTAAATACATTTAGTAATAATTAACATTAACATTTATAAATAAATCTTTGTTTTTTTGTTTTTTTTTTTTTTATTATTTGGATAATGCAAAAAGCGAATCAAATGCCAAATGCAAATATTTGTGGAACAGCGCAAAATCCGATTTCGATTTGGAACAGATGCGTATAATATACACACACATCGGATTTATATATATGTATAGAAATGTTTGCATATATGTATTTACATTTGACTTAATTATAATTAAATCAGCATTAGCGAATTTCATTAGCTAACTATAACATTGGATCTGACAAATCCGTCAATTAATTACAATTAAATATATAGACAAAATTTAGACCGTTGTCTGCACGTTTTGCACGGCCTTGGAGAGCTCCACCTTGGAAGGTATTAAATAAAATGCGGGCGTCATCGTCTCGCCGCAAGGACACTGGCAGGCTGTAAATACAATAGTATTAATCAATCAGTATATGGTAAGATTATAAGATATATGTACAAGAGTTTTGCCTCCAATAATTCGTAATCAAACAGATTATAAGACATTAGATTATAAGACAGCTCTATAGAAAAGTATAAGACATTATATAAGGAAAGGCCTTAGCGCAGCGAAGCTTTTGCCGATGAATCAAGCTGAGTATAAGAATTCACCCAGCCAGGGCTATAAGAAATATATATAAGAGCTGTCTCTCCAAATATTAATATATCTGTCTCTTTTACAATGATTCGAGCTACATTTGTGTATGGATTGGCAATCATTCATATGAGATAGATACATAGGTTAGGTATATTATAAAAGTCCGTGCACCCACCATTCACCCAGCTAAAGTTGCCAATCTTCTGCTCGCACTTGGGACAGTAGAGCCGACCCTGGGTGTTGAGCATGATGCGGTGCATCCAGGCGATGGGCTCCACAAATAATAAGCTGCGGCAATTGTTGTTGCCGGAGCCAGAGACAGCGGCGGCGGCAGCAGCGGCAGTGACGAGGTTCTCGTGACTGGGCGAGCCGAGCGAAGCTTTCCGTATGCGCTCCGCCAGCTGATCGAGCAGACGTGGCTCCGAGACCGATCCAGTGGCTCCGGCAAGCTGTTTTTGCTGCTGCTGCTGCTGCTGTTGCCCTTGCTCTTGCTCCGGTCCCTGCTCCTGTTCTTGGTGCTGTGGTGTGCCACGAGGCCGATGCTCCAGCACATGCGACTTGGAGGCAAGCACGCGTCGACAGCGACGACAACGAAAGACAATTGGTTCAGGATTCTCGCGTGTGATATCCGGATCGGGACGCACCACATTATGGAAGCTCTGTGGCAAGATCTTAGCCTTGCGCATTTGTTCACCAGCGAGACGCAATCGATGCATCTTGTAGCGCTGATAGTTGGGATCTATTTTATAGCCCATGCGACGGAAGAGCTTCAGCTGGGCAACAAAGCCCGCATTGGGCTGCACAAAGCGACGCTTGGCCAAGACCAGTTCATACGCTGCCTGATAGTCCAGCCCATGACGTTTAATGATGTAGGCAATCACAGCCGACGAGCTGCGACTGACGCCAAAGTAGCTAAGGAATATACATAGATATACATAGAAGAGAAGTCGCTCACTATATATAAATATGTCTGTTATCCATACCAGTGGACGAGCACGTTCTGCTGCTGCTCCAAGGCTTGGGATATGAACTCCACGCAAGCCTCTAGATGTTGCAAGATATCTTCGCGTGGCATGTCCGAGACTACAATGAATCAAATAAACAATTAAGACTTCTCAAGGGCATGCATATGGGGTATATCTGACTTTTACATACTCTGCACGTATTTGGTTGTCAGGAAACTCGCCTCCACAATATGCTGCGGCAGTGGCACCGAGTCCAGCGTTAATATGTGTGTTATCTTAAAGGATTTCAGCGTCTCCATGTGCGTAGCTGCTGTCAAATTGCCTGCAATAGGAATAGGAATACAATTAATGGACATGATGTATAACATACGTATATAAATATAGCTATATATGAATATATAACTGGTCAGTTGATTACTGCTGACTTACCCAGAAAGAGACCCGGTTCGATTTCATCAATGCTAACGGGTCCGCCATTGAAGTCCTGGCGCGTTAATGTGCCACAGTCCTGCCGCTTGCCATGCGCTGTCGTCGCGGCCTCCATGCTGCACGCTCAAGGACAGCAGCGCGCTGCAACGACGAACGACCAAAAACGGCAACAGCAACAGCAACGGCAACTGTTGCGCTTAACGGTTGTGAAATGGCGCTCACAGTGTTGCCACTGGCAGCTGCATGGCGATTGGAGCAGTTATTTTTCCTTCTTGTTGCACTAATTACTGCTCCTCGATTAATGGCAGCTCCTCACACGCCGCGCCCGCAGCAATTGAAATGGCATTGCGCTGTTGTTGCCTTCTGCTTTTGCTGCTGCTTCTGCTTCTGCTCGTGTAGCGCAAAATCTCATGCTGCCCTGATCCGCAGCATAACGAGGGCCACCAGACAGCGCCAATTTATGCGCAACTCTGCTGGCTCGCACTGCGCATGACGTCACAAATACATGCAAGTGCCAGAGGCATGCAAGTAATTAATGATGTATGATAATATCGATAGGTATAGTATGCAAATATTGTATAATAATTTTTGAAGGCCCATCATTTGACAGAGAAATTAGTGGCTTTCTTGCAGTGCACAACAGCTGTGACGTCATGCTTATGAATGACACAACAGACCTGTACAATGCATTACCATGTGCTCTAATTCTAGTGTACAAAGAAATATCGATATCCAATGAAAGTGATGTACCATAAGACTACTGAAGAATTGTTATCCAGCTGGAATACTCTTGTACCATAGCCTTTAAATGGCTAAAACATACAGGAGCTATACAAATATTTTTTTTTTCAGCTTAGTTACGTATGCCTATTCAATGTGAATGACAAAATAAATAAACAAGTAGTTTCAGTTCATACTCAGCAGTTTTATTTTCATAACTCATCAAATATTCACATTTTTATATCTGTATAGTATATAGTTTAGCTTGTAAAACCCCGATCAGTTGGAGGGAGCCAAATGTGTAACACTGATACACTATCGATAGCCGGCAAATTGTTCACCTAGTATAATCGATAGACAATAACCCACCAAATAATATAGAATATATATAGACAGCTCCGAATCAAACACAAAATAGACTAATTTATTACAAAACTATTAACTATGACTACGCTGCGACCATTTACCTGTGATGATCTATTCAAATACAATAATGTGTAAGTAAGCACGTGTATGCATAAGATCGTCAAGATATATATGGTCTATTTCAGGAATTTCGATCCGCTGACAGAAACATACGGTCTCTCATTTTATACACAATATTTGGCTAAATGGCCGGAATACTTTCAGCTAGCTGAATCGCCCAGTGGGCACATAATGGGTTATAGTAAGTACACGTTAATATGGACTACCAATCTGCTATATACAAATGGCTTACAGTTATGGGCAAGGTTGAGGGACATATGGACAATTGGCATGGACATGTAACGGCCCTAACCGTTTCGCCCGATTACCGGCGATTGGGTCTGGCAGGGCTGCTAATGAATTTTCTAGAGGATATATCAGAGAAGTAAGTATATACTTATACGTATGTAAAAAACATATCTAAACAATGCTTTATTCCTGCAGAAAACGCGCCTACTTCGTGGATCTTTTTGTGCGTAAAAGCAATAAAGTGGCCATAAATATGTATACAAATTTAGGCTATATTATATACCGTACGATACTAGAGTATTACTCGGGTGATCAGGATGAGGATGCGTATGGCAAGTCCTTTGAATTCAAATAATTGAAAGATCCACTGGCTAATTTCCCAATTTGATTTGATTTGATCTTCTTGCAGATATGCGAAAGGCACTGTCGCGAGATGTGAATAAGAAATCGGTTATACCTTATACGCAACCTGTACGATTGGAAGATATAGATATGAATTGATATCCACCCACTGCCCGCATTCGCATTTATGTTTAACTCTTATACTGATTCATCGATCAATTGCATTTCGCCTAAAAATTTCTAGTTCAACAATGACAACAAATAGAAAAGCAAACAAATTGTATCTAATCTGAAGTTATAAGTCCCCACAAAACAATTTGCTAACTATCCAAAATGAAAAACAAAAACAAAAAGCAAACCTCAAAATTGAAACTCCCCAAAAATTCCCAGTTGGATTACAACACATTTTGCAATCCATAATTGTGTCAATAATATTCCTTAAACGCATATATATACATAATTCTACATGATTTTGTTATCAGTAAATAAGACTTCTTAATGCCGATTACATAACTATTACAAAACGAATGTTCTCACTGAAACTTCAAGGTAAATAATATTGTTTGTCCTTTACGAATTGTACCTAACCTTATATCATTATCTACATATCTATCTATTCCAAGTTTTCTAATCTGATCAATGAAAACTTTTTCTTAATCAATCAATTCTTGCAGATGACAATGCGTGAGCTGCGCCACCAAATGCGGCACGAGGCCAAATGCGAATAACGGAACATTTTCTTCATTTGAAAGAGAAGGAAGCCAATTCATTTTTAAAAATAATTTTTTTATTGTCAATATCAATTTATAGGTCAAACTTATCAAATTTTTAGTTTTTCAATATGCAATCTTTTAAAATACCGTATTTATACATATGTGTGCAAATTCATTTTTGAAACAAAAAAAAAAAAAAAAAAAAAAAAAAATCAGAAAAAAACGCAATTTTCTTTTCCCTTTAGAACGCTGCCAATTTTCTGATTGGTTCTATAGCTATCACGCTCTAGCAAATTGCCGTTAGACAAGCCCTTTGATTCCCAACCAATTCATAGGTATTGACAAAAATATAAATTGAGATTTTCGCTTTGTGAGCGCTGCTAATGACGGTAGTTACCATACATATTAAATTTAAAACGAAAATAGTGCAGAAATAATTATTTAGCCAAGGTCAAAACGAGCAGCTAACTTATTCATAATGTAGCAAAGAAAATGACTTGAAGTATTGGGCTATTGGAACTGAAATAACGGGTTTTCATAACCGTTTCAAGCGTTGCAGGTGCTTAAACCCGAATAAAGGAAATTATTTGTTAGTGCGCAGCAGGTAAATAAATATCCCTGTGCAGAATGTGTGTGTGTGCGTGAATGCGTAACCTAACGGTTCAGCAACTGAAGCTCATAGAAGAGGAAGAACAAATGAAGATGAATGCATGCAAAAGTACTTAATACATACACCCATATGTATGTTTGTGTTTGAATATAAGTTAGTACGAATAAAAAACTATATGAGAAAATACATATGCTGTACGTAAAGCCATATGTATTTTTACATATATACGTACATATGGTATGTACATGAACTCAGGTATTAAACACATTTCTATGTACGCAGAGCCATTTGTACTTGGCTCTGGATCTAAACAAATTTCCAATCCCAATATATTCGCCGCTTCGGCCACAGTACGAAGAGCGGCGGACAGCAACAGTGGATTGCCTTCTCTCCTTTTCGCGTGTGTCACGCTCTAGCTGTGCATGTGTATCTGCGTGTGTGCGTGTATGTGCCTGTGCCAGCGTATGAGTGTGTATCTGTGTATGTGTTCTGTATCTGCCGCTTTTACGTCCGAAGCAGAAATCCAGCTTGCTGTTTGCTATTGTAGGGTATCTTTGGCGCAACGAAGCAGCCGACCATTTGTCTTCTCATCTAATTATCATTAATAATTTTGCGGTACGAAAATCTGGGCATGACACAGCCAGATTCAGATTCAGTGTGAGATTAAGACTCGGTTTTTAGCCTCATATTCACATTTCATGCATGTAAAACTCGTTTCAAGTTGAATTTTTGTTCGCAGTGTGGCAACGCTGCGCCCCACACAGCAAAAGCAGCAGTAGCAACAACGCTGAACATGACGGATACTGATGTGCCATTGTATGCGTGCGTGTGAATGTGTGTGTGTGCGAGAAACCGAACATAGGGTAAAAATAAGCGAACCACAAACAGTCAACAGCTACAGAGCTAAATTGCAGCTGCTATACGCGTCGCCGACGACGAATAGGGTAAGTAAAAACAGGCAACAGCAACAACAACAACGAACCAGGCGGCAAAGCACAAATGACGATAAAGCCGAAGCAAAGACATAGATGGTAAAACGAACGAATGCGAACACGAACGTTACAGAAACAACAACAACGGCATCAGCGACGAACGTACATACAGTGTTGAGCGTATGTATGAATGCAAGCATACGAAGCGATAAACCGCCAGGGGCGTTGCGAACAGGGTTCAGCAATATTTGTATACATTGATGGATGTTCGGATGAATGTACGAATCGTACATAAATTGCGCACTCATGTCAGAAAGTAATTATTTGTGCTGCTGCTGGTGCTGCTTGCGTCGTTGTTATTGTTCTGAATAGCATTTGGCATTTGGCATTCGGCAATGGTTGCAACAACCCCTATAAATGGTGGCTGCGACGCCGCTGTCGCTACCGCTTGTAGCGAACAGCGAGCGACAAGCACTGAATACGAATGAACGTTCGAAAGTGGAAACGACGATAAAGCGGTGCGCACACAGTCGTGCGGCAACGAGGGGTGAGCCGTCGCTGCTGCTGCTGCTCTTGCTGTTGCTGTTGCTGCCACTGGCCACTGGCAACTGGCAATTGAAAGACACACAACTTCAGTTCCACTCATAGTCATTCGGGGCGAGTCAGAGATAAGGCGCTCCTGCAGTTCGGAGTAGTGTTCTAGCGCGCACGCACACAGCTGCATCCTTGTTTGTTTTTTTCTTTCTGTTTTTTTGTTTTTTCGTTAAATTTCTTTTTTCGTGCTCGTGCAGCCCCTGCTCGGCGACGCCACTGGCATTCAAGGCAGAGGCAGCGACTACTGCTAGCTTTATAGCTGGCTGGCTCTGGCACTGGCTGTTTTGCTGACTGCCTCGCTGTGGACAGAACGAAAGACAGGCGGCAACTAAAGCGGCGGTCGCAAACGAAATTTGTTTAATATTAAATACAAATACAAATACAAGAATAACAACAACAAGAAGAACAGCAAAAGCAGCAGTATCGACGACGCTCGACGTACTAGAAACAACTATAATAATAAGAATAACATACATAAAATAAAATACAAAATAACGGCAAATCAAAAAGAAACGAAGACGACTAAAAACGGCGGTAGCGGAGCACACAGGCTATACGAAACGTTTTTGAAAAACGCCAAAAGGTAAGCAAGCACAAGCAGCTGCACTCGCATACGACTTGACGAATATTCGCGTTCGCGTCCGCATTCGCATTCGCATTCGCAATTCGAAATTCGCAAATCGCATTTGGGTGGCCTCCTCTAGGCACTGGGTAACCCGTGTCTGCGACTTTGACAAGCAGCTCTCAAACAGAAACTGCAGCTGAATGATGTTATGTTTTAGTTGTTAGTTGTGCGCAAATACACAAATGTACAATATATTTTAAATTCGTATCGCGCTTCGTATTATTTCCCATTTTTATTCTCTTCTTTTCCAAAACACAATATATATACATATATATATATGTATATATATATATGAAAAGAAATTTCGTTGCCTCGTTTCGCTTTAATGGTGGTAGTGTGTGTGCGAGCGTGCCTGTTAGTGTATGCGTGAGTCGCTATAAGTATATATAATATATTATATATATATAAATGTGTATGTGTGTACAAGCGAGTTGTTTGCATGTGTGAGTGTGTGTGTGCATGCTTGTGTTTTTGAATGTGTGCGTGCGAAAGACCGACAACGACGTCGACGACGACCAGTAAAAAGAACCCGACTGACTGTTGGTGTGGACTGCGACTGCTGCGGAGAGTAAAATTCGATTTGCTGTGCCCTGAAAAATTGCAAATTGCAAACGAAATGTGATTATCGGTATTGAAAAATTCTGCTGACAAATTGTCAAACGAAAAAAATCACAAAAAAGCAACAAATTGAATAAAAATAAATGATAAACGGACAGTGAATAATAATTGTAAATTATAAATCGGCAATTATTTAACGGTGCATGCAAACAGCATACGGCAACGCTGTCAATTTTTTTCTTTTAATTGTATTTTTTCATTTTTCTTGCTGTGAATGTTTTTAACTGTAATGCTAATTTGTGTGTCGCTTGTGTTTTTCGCGTTGCCTGCTATATCCATCTTCTTCTTCTTTATTTTCATGCCAACGTTTCGCCGGCAACAACAACAACAACTATAACAACAACTGCTGTGACGGCTACATCAATAACAACAACAACAACAATCAAATCAAATCAAATCAAATKGAAATTGTATCGATAACGATAGTAGCCGTAGGCTAATCGATAGACATACTGAAGAGGCAAAGAGAACGTCCCATACAATCTCTAACACATACACTCACACACATACACACAGATACACAAACACATACCTATACAAAGTACATTAACGTATACAATTCAAGATTAATCGATAAACGATCAACAAGAAGAAGAACAACAACAGAAAAATGTCAAACGGCAAGGCGACGGCTTCGTTCTTTGAGAACGGAAGCACCAGACAGTTTGAATACTGCTACGAACTGTATCCGCAGGTGCTAAAGATTAAAGCCGAAAAGCGCAGCAAGAAGCCACAAGAGCTAATCCGCTTGGATCAATGGTATCAGAATGAACTGCCCGGCTTGATAAAGGCGCGAGGGAAAGATGCCCACTTGGTATACGATGAACTTGTTCAGGCCATGAAATGGAAACAGTCTAGGGGTAAATTCTATCCGCAACTGTCATATTTGGTCAAGGTGAATACGCCGCGTGCAGTAATCCAGGAGACAAAGAAGGCCTTTCGCAAGCTACCCAATCTGGAGCAGGCGATCACAGCGTTATCCAACCTCAAAGGCGTGGGCACCACAATGGCATCCGCTCTGCTAACAGCCGCCGCCCCCGACTCAGCCCCATTCATGGCCGACGAATGCCTGATGGCCATACCAGAGATCGAGGGCATTGATTATACGACCAAGGAGTACCTCAACTTTGTGCAGCACATTCAGGCCACAGTGGAGCGACTGAATGCGGAGGTTGGCGGCGATACGCCGCACTGGTCACCGCATCGCGTCGAGCTGGCGCTCTGGGCGCACTATGTAGCCAACGACCTCAGTCCCGAGCTGCTCGACGATATGCCCTCGCCGACAGCAACACCTAACACAAACGGTAGCCTGAGCAAGGCGAGCAAGGTGCTCGATGGCGAGGACACCAACGATGGCGTCGCTGTCGATGTGGATGAGGACGAGAGCCTCGGCGCAGGTGAGATCAATGAGATAGGGAAGAGAGAAAGTATATACATATTTATATATAGATTCATGATCAATTGAATGATCTAATTAGAGGTGAAACTTGGGTATATATCGATAGGTCGATAGTTGTTTAGTTTTCAATTTGTATACTTATTTGAAGTTTGCAGTCATATTCTGTGTACTAATCGAATTATCTTTTGCTTCATTGAAATCCAGGTGGCCGGAATACGGCAACAGAATCGGAGACAGAGAACGAAAACACCAATCCGACATCGTTGACGCCGCTGGGCAATGCGAGTGGTGGCGTTGGTAGTGGTGGTGGCAAGAGCAACATTAACAGCAGCAACAACAACAACAATAGCAACAACAACAACACTGCCGCCTTGCAGGATGGCGACTCAAACTTTGTGTCGAACGATTCCACCTCGCAGGAGCCGAACATTGATGACAACACCACACAGACAACGGCCACAACCACATCGACGGAGGACGGTGAGCCGATGGGCGTGGCAACGCCACTGGCCTCCGACTCGGAAAGCAATCTCGAGGCACCGCTCAAGAGTCGCTTGGCCGCCGTTGGAGTTTGTGTTGGGGCAGGAGTAGGAGCAGGAACAGGAGCAGCTGGAGCTGGAGCAGGCACAGTGGCAGGAGCAGGAGCAGCTGTTGCCCAATCGCACAACAACAACAAGCAGATCAATAACAACGGACAAAGCGCTGCACAATCAGCAGCAGCCGCAGCAGCAGCAGCAACAGAAGGATTGGGTGGACCAGCAGCACCAGCGGCCGTGCCAGCCGCTTCAACAGCAGCCAATAGTAATGGCAATGGCAATGGCGTGCTCTCGCTTGGTGGCAGTGCGTCAGCAGCGAATCAAGTTGATGAYGATGATGAGGAGGAGGACGAGGATGAGGATGAGGATGAGGTGGACGAGGAGGAGGATGAGGATGAAGTGGACGATGAGCTAGAGGCTGATGAGAGTAACAGCAATGGCAGCAGCAATTTGCGTGCCAGCAAACTGCAGCATTTGGCTGCAGCTGCGGCTGCGGCGACAGAAGCGACAACGCTAACAGCGCCATCTATTGGACAGAAGCGTACGGCGCTGCATTGCGAATTGGACGCTTCTGGTGCAACTGCAACTGCGGCTGCTGGTGAGAAATCGCCAGAGTTGAAAAAGCTGCGCAGCGACTGAGCTACATGCAGTGCAGCGCCGCAGCCGTCGCTAAGTAGCATCGTTAGGCCGCGTATATCTGGTGGAAAGACATGTATGTAGTGCAGTTGAGTCGACATTTGAGAGCAACATTACCTACACTTTGCCACAACAACATTCAAGAAATTTTACTATTAAGCAAAACTAATTATACATATAATATATAATATATATATACAACAAAGAGAAAGAACACACACACAGAACACACACACATATAACAAAAAGCAGCACACACACACAACGAGAACATAAAAGGAGATCGAGAAGCAGCACAGCAACAGCACTTAACATAGGCTTAACAGGCAAAAATATAGAATGAGAAGAACAAGGAGAAGAACCTTACAACAGAGAGAACATAACACACCACACCACACCACAACACACCACACTCACATTAAATTAGGAACATAGTGCGGGCGCGTATTAAATGAAGTTTAAGTTGAACTCGAGGATAAATACGAGTAATGTTGGATGATGATATGATGATGATGATAATATGATATAAAGAGTAATAGCCATACGGAGTCCCCAATTGCAGCAGCGATTAACATTATACATGTGAAGTGAAAACGATAAGCAAATACATAGTAACTATTAAATCAGATACAAATTGATATTTTTACACAGTCAAATGAAACCAACATTTAAATATTAAACGAAAAAAGAAAACAAAACAAAAGATAAAAATTTACAAATGCCGCAGTTGCCCACTACATACAAGAAACGGAAGAAAAAAACAATAATTATAATAAAAAGTAATTTATATAAGTATTTAAAATTAACAATAAATCAAAAAGAACTTGTCGCATAAAACTCGAAACATCGTCCCCCGATTGATCGCCGCCTTCCTCCTTGACCACCACTACAACATATATACACACGCGCTCCATCTCTCTTTTTCACCCAACCACCTATCCATACACGCTCACCAAAACTCACCAACCTCATGCACAAGCATACATCTACACACATACACATCCCAATCCAAGCGGACGACGCCGCTATCGACGTCGATTAAGCAAAAACAAAAACAAGAAAAAAATACAAAAACTCATTTAAAACAATGCGAAATTTTTGTGGTCGTATTTGTAATAATATAATTTTTAATTTATGTGTACAACTTACTTTTTTTTTTAATACTATATATAATACTGAATTTTTTATAATTTATACGATAATATTTTTTCAATTGATTTAAAGAAAAGAAAACTAAATTTAAATTAATTTTGGCATCGATCTACCTTTATCTGTTGGGCTGAAACATCATTATACAATACTTTTTTCAGCTTCTGCTATTTTCAATTGGTATCGAAATCGAATCAATTGTCAGAACACCATCTTTCAAAATTATAATAATTTTAATTGATATAGCATAAGTTCAAAATAAATTGTGAAAAATATTATGAGTACAACCGAGCCAGATGCAAACCAATGAAACCTCCTTAAAGTACCTGTCGAATCAATTTCTCAATTTTTATAGTTACAAATTGTGAGAATTCGCAAATACTTTTTGAATATTGTACACAAGCGCGTTAAATCGTGCTATCGACTAGCCGCCACTTTTGGGCGGTTATTTTTTGCTACGATTGAGGTGTATGTAGCTTACTTCAAGCATTTATTGTGTTTTGGTATGCAACAGGAAAAACGCAGCATAATTTTAAATATTGTAAAATTCTGCGATAATAATAAAGCAAACACAAGTGCTGCATTAATCGAGTATTTTTGCACACCCTGGGCATATGCTACAAAAAATACCGCAGTAAACATATCGATAGTAATGATGTGCTACATTTGAAATATCGCTCGAGAGTAAGAATATCGATAGGCCTACARCCCTATTTTTAGTATTTTGTTATTTATTTATTAAAATAAGAAAAGGAGTATATAAAAAAAAACCTGTGTCATCTGTGTGCTGTTGCGCTGTGCCGCACAATGTTTAGCAGATGTCATAATCGCAGCTATATGCTGTGAATATGCAACACACACGGCAAAAATACCCTCCAATACAAATTAACTAGCTGCCGTGCACACAAACATACACAAACACACATATACACAAACATAGAAACCTTTGGACGCCACGGTTTAGCAGAAGGCGAGCAGGACGGAAAACCAGAGATTAGAGTGTCGACACGACGCCATGCTCCTGGTGCGTCAGCTGTTTGGCTCATCATCCAATTCGTGGGTGCGCGCCCTCATCATCTTTGTGCTCGCCTGGGCGGTGCTCGTCTATGTGTTTGTGCTGAAGCTAACCAATAGCCAGGCCCAGAATCAAAGCCATCAAACAATCTCTGCCAGTGATAATGAGCACAATGCGCGGCGCATCAATCAGGCGCTGCAGCTGCTGGAGCACACGGAGCGACGCAACGAGGAGCTCAAGCTGCTCATCGATGAGCTGATGAGGTATGTATGTAGCGGTCATCAACAATAGGAACAATAACTTCATGAGCATCATTAGCATTATCTGCCACAAGTAGACCTAAAGCTGCAGCGCCCACACCCCACTGCTCCACTCCCCCATCTAACTCATTCCAGCCTGCTCTAATCCGCTCCAAGTGCGCCCCATTAATGCGACCTTTCATATGTAAAGCGAGCAAATGAACTTCTCGTTTCGGCTAGCCGAACTGTGAATACCCTTGCAGGCATTGCATATGTGGCTCTATTGGGCGTATAGACACATATGCATATATTATAATCCTATACAGATTCAGTAGCCTTCCGATACACTTGCTCAATTATATGTATATATATGTATAGCTATATATTCATATGTCTGCCATATACTCGTGGCATGTGTGTTGTCGATATGCTCGCTGCAAGGGTATGCAATCAATGCTCGGTCACGCTTGCACACGTCGGCGTTGAAGAATGACGAATGACAAATCACCACGCACAACCTGGGTCTCTCTGCGTGTGTGTGTGTGTCGGCGTGTGTGTGTAATGGTGTGTTGTTATCTTCTGTTGTTGTTGTTTTTACAGCGAACAGCTGGATAAGCAGAGCGCCATGAAGCTCATCCAAAGGCTGGAAAATGATTCGCACAATGCAAAGCAATCAATGGGCGATGATACGCTCTTCGAGGTGATTCCAGCCGATGCCGCTGGACAGGATCAACAGCATCAGCAGCAACAGCCGCAGCCACAGCCGCAGCAATTTGGCTCAGATGCTGCCGGCCAACTGCCTGGGCAGCCGGGCATTGAGCCCAGCTTGGAGTACGAGTTGACGCGGCGACGCATCCAAACGAATATCGCCGAGATTTGGAACTACTTCAGCAGCGAGCTGGGCAAACTGCGCAAAGCTGTCGGGCCCGGCAACTCTGAGCTGGAGGAGTCCATACAGCAGGTGCTGCTGCAGGGCGCCGATCACAAACGCTCGCTGCTGAGCGATATGGAGCAGCTGCGGCGCGTCGATGGCTACGAGGCCTGGCGCCAGCAGGAGGCCAAAGACTTGAGCGACCTGGTGCAGCGGCGACTCCATCACCTCCAAAATCCCAGTGACTGCCAAAATGCTCGCAAACTTGTCTGCAAGCTGAACAAGGTTCAAGCGACAATTACTCTACTCAGAAGAGATGCAGTGCCTCAACTGGCATCCACTCAAGCCTATCCTCACGCCATTGTCTATCACCTACTCTGCATGTTCAAATACTCTTTTTGTCATTGGTTTTTCTTACAAGCATGAATGTTGTAAAGACCAAGAGAGAGAGAGAGATGGAGAGAGAGAGATGGAGAGAAAGAGATGGAGAGAAAGAGAGAAAGTGAGAAAATAATTATTAACTTTTCTGTTCTTTCAATATCATATGATCACAATCTCTTTAACTGCCCTCGAGACTAAAACTCTCTTATCTCTCTCCCTCTTTCTCTCTCTCTCTCTATCAGATTTATATTGTTTCTTTTTCTGTTTTGTTGTAACTCTTTTATTTTATATTTTATTTTCCTCTTGGTTTTTTATTTTTGTTGTGAACGTTGGAGAACGTTCACATCTTCTGCTTGCTCTCTCTTCCCGTTTTATCTCCCTTAGCTTGTTTTCTGTCCCTCCCTATCCAGTTCAATTTTCAGTTACTTTTCTTCTATTGCATTTGGCGTTTTCTCTGTTCTCTTTTATGCTGCATTCGTAAATTTTGCTTTCACTTCAAATTTCTCCACTTTAAATTTCTTTTTTACTATCTATTTATTTGCATCAATCTATTTGTACCATTTTCCCCATTTATTCTCTTCCCATTCGTAATCGAAAATGTTGTCCACTAACTACTAAATTTCAACTCAAACTATCATTGGCTATTTATTTCGTATTTACCTTTTGTGTTTTTCTTACTTCTGACATTCGTAAACGTGCCTCCAAGAGCTCTGCACTCAATTAACCTACCTGAAGAGGCACTTTAGTCTAACAATATTAATTTTAACCCATAGTCTGATTTCATTTTTCAGTTTTTCAGCTATTTTCGTTGTGCTTGTGATTTCGTAAACGTTACACTGGCTGCTCTGAGTACCTGTTTAGCTATGCACTCATTTCATTCCGTTTCGTTTCGCTTGATTTTTGCAGGGCTGCGGCTATGGCTGCCAGTTGCACCATGTGGTCTACTGCTTCATCGTGGCCTATGCCACAGAGCGCACGCTGATACTAAAGTCGCGCGGCTGGCGCTATCACAAGGGCGGCTGGGAGGAGGTGTTCCGTCCGGTGTCCGATAACTGTCAGGACGCGGGCACAGCGTACGCCTATAATTGGCCGGGCAAGTCGAATACTCAGGTGCTGGTGCTGCCGATCATTGACTCGCTGATGCCACGCCCACCCTACCTGCCACTCGCCGTGCCGGAGGATTTGGCGCCACGCCTGAAGCGCCTGCACGGCGATCCCATCGTCTGGTGGGTTGGACAGTTTCTCAAGTATCTGCTGCGTCCGCAAACGGAAACGCGCGACTTCCTTAACTCGGGCATGCGCAAGCTGGGCTGGGAGCGTCCCATTGTGGGGTAGGCTATGACCGCATCCTTATCCTAAACATTTTCTCTATTTGTATCTGTATCTGCTTGCAGCGTTCATGTGCGACGCACGGACAAGGTGGGCACCGAGGCGGCCTTCCACGGCATCGATGAGTATATGACGCATGTGGAGGACTATTATCGCACTCTCGAGATTAATGGGAGCAGCGTGGTGCGTCGCATCTTTCTGGCCTCCGACGATGCGCGGGTCATCGTGGAGGCACGCAAGAAGTATCCGCAATATCAGATCGTCGGCGATCCGGAGGTGGCGCGCATGGCGGCCGTCTCGACGCGGTATACGGATACCGCCCTGAATGGCATCATTCTGGACATTCATCTGCTGTCCATGTCCGACTATTTGGTGTGCACCTTCTCCTCGCAAGTCTGCCGCGTGGCGTACGAGATAATGCAAACGATGTATCCGGATGCGGCGTATCGTTTTAAATCGCTGGACGATATCTACTATTACGGCGGACAGAATCCGCACAATCGACGGGCGGTCATTCCGCATAAGCCGCGCTCGCACGAGGATCTGCAACTGAAGGTCGGCGATCTCGTCTCGGTTGCGGGCAATCATTGGGATGGCAACTCCAAGGGCAAGAATACGCGCACCAATCAGGGCGGACTCTTCCCCTCCTTCAAGGTGGTCGACAAGGTCGAAACGGCCAAGCTGCCAGTCTATCCGGGTGTCTAAGCTCTCTACCGAATGTCGGATATCTGATATCGAATACCGGATATCCTGGATAGCCAGCCGACCCCATCCAGAACCTTCTCTGCTGAATCTCAATTTAAAATTCTGCTCCGCCGCATTCCAAGTGTTTGTGCATCTTAAATTCTGGTTAACATCGCCAAAAACTAACAAAAGAACAGAAACGGAAAATCTCAAATCTATTCAAATGCTCTAATCTCTTTTCCTGGAATGTGGAATCGATCAATGTTCCACACGATTCCATTTGTTGCACTAATTCTATGCATTTTCCTAAGCCGAAGAAATTAGAAAAAAAAGAAAGAAGAAGAAATGTTGACAACATAAAGATTATGCATATAGAGAAAACAAATATATATATACATATAGTTTTACGTATATGCACATATGTATCTATATATATAGTATGTGTAAGCATGCATGTAGGGTTCAAATACGCGCAATATAGTTTATCCTTTGTAACATAGACGAAACTCACAAATAAATATAGTCAAGTTTTAATTTGCAAGTTGCAGTTCAATTTAATTGGGAGTGCACGAAATTCATTCAAGGCAAACGTTTAAATATTTGTTTTGGTTCTATTCAATAATAACGTTGTATCGTTTTATTGATTAAAAATAACTAAGATTATCATCTCTAAGCGGGGTGACTTACAAAATCTACACAAATTATCGATTTTAATCGATAGTAAGCAAATGGGCCTACACTGCGTATACATAAGTTAGGCGGACATAGCTATAACGACTCATCGTGTCCTTTTGCTCAGGAATCTTTACAATTTATATCCCCGGCATGCCTGCTCCTGCATGTTACATACATTTTCACATATATATTACAATTACTCGTATATTCAAATGGTGAGTACATTGACTTTGGTACCATTTACGGCTACTTTACGATGCCAAATGTTAACAGTGTACCTTAACAGAATTACTTCATTGACTTTGAAACGGGTTACTTTAACAGAATTACTCTTATACACAAATGTTGACTTCATTGGCCTTGGTTCATTTAATGTTAACCAACCAAATAACAGAATTCATCTTTGATGTTTGCTTACGGTACCTTATAACAGTAGCAGCGCTGTCAATGTCAATGTCAATGACTGAGTCGTTCGATAACATTGGCTTGGATATGCACTTAACTCTTACACTCGCTCTCTCTCACACACACATGCAGGCACACAAAAGGCTTAATGTAACGCACTCCTCGATTGCTATTTTGAACCTTGTTTTGTTCAGGTTCAAGATCCCTGCCGGTGAAAGTGCACGGGTAGCCTGATGATGATGATGACGATGATTTGTGTGCGAAAACAAAAATTCTTTTGAGTCAGCGAGAAACGAATTTACACCCAGCCACAGGAATGCTGCTTTATAAACAAGAAACAACCAACGAAAATTCCCAAAAAATGTGAGAAAAAAACCAAACAAAACAAAATTAAAAACAAAACAGGCGCCAATTGACAGCGCGACAGAGCGAAATGAAAAACGTGATAAGCGCTCGATCGAAAAAAGAGAAGAAAATAAATAAAAATGTATATAGTATATAAATTAAAGCTCATCACAAAATTATTTATATGCGTAATATAATTAAGTACTCAATGAACCGCAGGGAAGTTGCCGCAAAAACAACAACAACAAAAAAGTTACCAAACAGGCAGCTGCCGTTAAACCGGCATGGGCGCGAAAAGGAGCGGTATATGGCGAGAGCCGTACGTTGGAGAAGGTCAACTTGGTTGAGCCTCAGCTGACGGCGTTCGCGCTCGTACTGGCGCTCGATAAGCCCGGACTTTGGCTTATGATAACAGGCAGCGATTCGGTATATAAGACATTGCAGCTGCCTTCCAATCAGCAACACTTGTGAACTTACATCCCAATCGACATCACCTTCCAGCGGACCTCCAGTCGAAAATTCAACATGTCGAAATTTAGTTTTGTCGCCCTGATCGCCTGCGCCGTCGTCTATGTTCTGTGCAGTCGCAGCGCCGCAGCGCAGGTCATTGGCAGAGGTCTCCTCAAAAATCCCAGTGAGTATAAGAGTGCGAAAGAGAGGGGTAAGGACTTACGTATATCTAAATGTATATCCTTTGTTACCCCCCTCCAGCTTATCCCGGCAAATGTGTGGTGAACTCCAACCTGATTATGTCGGTCGGACAGGTTGCCAAAGCGCCCAATCATCCGTGCGCCAGCATAACCTGCTTGGAAGGCAGCACAGTCGAGTTGCACACGTGCAAAGCAGTGGCGATGCCCAAGGGCTGCAAGCTGCGCGACTTTATCAACACCAATCGTAAATTCCCCGAATGTTGTGAGCGCCACTACGACTGCAACGAACACATCTAAGTCTCTTATCGTTGTCCATAATAGCTCTAAAATCTTGTATTTTGTTTTTGTTGCTCTTTTTTTTTTTGGTTTTTATTTATTTTTTATACTACAACATAACAATTAAAAAGTAAACGCTTAGCAATACAATTAAATAATTTAATAAAATCATTAACAGAAAATACATATGCAACTATGTATGTATGTATGTACATATGTATGTATGTTGTTTTCTCTTGTGGGCATTTGGGCAAAAGGCCACGCTGCTAATTAACTACACACCTACACACACATTCGCATATCGCCGTTATATGTATATTCATATGCATATATGTGTTTATGCATGTGTTGCTCCTTTTAACTATATACATACGCATTACTCTAGCGTACTTAATGCCTTCCAGCAGAGCACGCAGCTGATTGTGTGCGTGTCTGTGTCTCTGCTGTATGACTAACAGAACAAACTAAATCGAGAGCGTGTGAAAGGAAGAGGAAACCCGTTAACTTTTGATACTTTCTGCATGGTATTTTGGTGTCTCTTTCATAATTTGTTTTGCTTTTGTGTTCCTAGTAACTTTCACTTGTTTTTGTGAATATGTGTACGTGTTGTGTCTCCTATCGACTGAGATTGTTTATATAGAGCGCGTGCAGTTCGGTGCGCGGAGTATTCTCAAATAGGGCGGCACGATTCTGGCCCTCACCCTTCTTCACCCAATGACCATACACACGGAAGGCGCAGCCATCGATAACCTGTCAACGATAAATGTTATTGATTGTTGTTACCAGTGATCGATATATGTTTGTATGTGTAAGTTCAAGTATTTCTGCAGTGTTTTAGGTTTACCTTGCGCAGCACCTTGACGCGATAAGGATCACGTATGGCCTCCTCAACGTGAAGCGGCTCGGCCGTGTAGCGTAGACGGCGTATCCTAATAACCGCGCGTATGACTAATATGGCAAATTGGAACTTTTTGCGCGCGTTGAAGCGACTTTGTTTCCGCAGCTAAATATGCGAAAATTAAAGAAAAAATCACACAGGATGGGGGTTAATTTTGTTATAAGGTAATTACTTCAAAATTGTTTATTGTGTTAGAGTTTGATTTTTTTTTTTTTTTTTTTGTATTAATATTTGGCATTTTACGTTTTAGTTCATACGCCTTGGGTTAATACGGTTATCGTTAGCGGATGTTCAATACAACAATTCTAAAGTCGCGTGTGTGTGTGCGTGTATGTGTTTGTTTTGGTTTGTGGCATTTAAAAACTTTACGCGAACACATCTTGCATTAGGCGACTGTATGTCTGTGTCCGTGTCAAAGTCAATGCGTGTGTGTGTATGAGAGAGACATTACATACATACATATGTCAAGTTAATCTTAAGCTGTTAGTTCCGTGCTGTTATGTGCATTTAACATACTTATGTCAAGAGAATGAAAGGCAGATAAAGGTACACAGTTAAATTCACCACATTGTCAGTGTACGGGTAGTGCCAAGTTGTGTTTGTGAGATGTCGCAAAGCAAAAGCAAATAAACAAATACAGGATTGTAATGAACTCAAAACAGAAAAAAGAAGTGCGGTGTAATGGGCGAAACTGTTAAATCCGTGAGCGAGTGAAAGAGAGCGCATGCGGAACGCGCTCAGGGACAGAACACACACAGACAGAAATATATAGATATATGTATGTACATGGATTATAAACATACACATATATGGTGGATAAATAAAATATATATAGATATAGAATTGAACAATGGCATTTTAAAATGTATATATACTGTATAGGTAACTAATTGTTTTATATATGGTTTTGCGCATTTTGACTTTGGTTTACTCACAAGGGAGTCTCCACAACACCGACTTATAGACACACATCTTATAAGGGCGTTGAGACTCTGACAATATAGAGAACATGACACACAAAACAAAACGTGTATATCAAATCATACAGAGGAGAAATTAAAAACAAAACAAAAAACTTCGTCAGTGAATTGGTAAGCGTAATCGTTTTTTTTTTTTTTTTCAAAATTTTTAATTTTTTTTTGTTTTCATATATTATTTATGGTGTATGTATGAATATGATCCAATGTGTACTTAACGGTTAAATTTAACATAAACAGAGGACATGCAAAAGAACAGAGAGAGAGAGAGAGGGACAGACAGATGGAGGTATACAGAGAGAGTGCCAAAACTACAACAGCATTATGATTAGTGATATACAACATATTTAATAATACTACCATAATACAAACGGCAAAAGCGTTTTTATTTATTTATTTTTTTTTTACCATATGAAAAAAAAACCAATTGACCCAAAGATATATACTACTATACTAAAAAGGTGCATATAATACAAACAGTTTTTGGTATATTGAAAATACGACTAAAACAGCTAAAATTAAATAATATTATATTAAGTGTAAAATTAAATGTTACAGACTAAATAAAAATGTGCGTTCCATTTGCCACAGGGCTGGCAAATGCAATATCAAAGTGAGGTGAGTTCAGTGGAGATGAGGCGTGGTGAATGCGCCCTGCTACATGGCTACAATATTTTTTACTGTGCTGTGAGTGAAATTAATGGAGTTGAAATGTGAGCGATGTGTGTGTGTGTAGGCGCCGCTGCCAAAGTTAAGTGTGTTGTGTGAATATGTGTATGATGCACTAATCAAATACAACTAAAAGCGCTTTTCGTTGAGAAAAATAAGGAATGTGTTATATAACTAAATTGATACGTGAACATATTGATAAAAGAAAATAGGAAAAACCTGCCTGCACGGATGAATACAATAAATGTTTTGCATTTGCCGCACTCTCATAATTATCGTTATCGTTATCGATGCCCAAATGCTGCCGCGCTTTATTTGCTGCTGTTGATTGCTGTTGCTGCTCCTGTTGCTGCTGTTGTAGTTGTTGTTGCTGTTGATAGTATACTGTGGCCGTCAAGGTCATGGACGACGCTGTATTGGACGTCGTTGTGCTTTCCAGCTGTTGTTGCTGTTGCTGCTGCTGCAGCGGTTGCTTCTGTTTCGCATGATCAGGCGCAAAATAATTGCTGCTACTGCTGGTTGTAGCGACATCGCGTAACCGATTCGATGAATACGAGCTCTGCGGCGCACTGCAGTAAATATAGGAGGAGGATGCGCCGCAACTGCTGCCAGCGTTTCCACTGTTCAGTCGATTATAACGGAAGGCTGTTTGATTCTGATTCTGGCGGCTCGAGCTGGGACCGCTACTGTTAGTGTTAGCGTTGCCCGCATTGCTGCCTGGATAATGTGCAACTTTGGCATTTGCATGCAAGTGCTGCATATACGTCATCTCGTTCAGTAGAACCTATTTATCGCGTCATTTGTTTTCAGATAGAGTGCGGCATAGACAGAGGGAAAGAGGGGGAGAGCGAGAGCGAGAAATTGGCAAAGTGCAGGCAGCGCGCATGTTGGGCAGGTCAAAACGCAAAAAAAAATGAGGAATACAAAATTGTAAAAATGTTAAAGGAAATAAGTCAAATGAACAAAACCAGACAATAAACATTAAATTAAAATTATAAATATATCTAAATTTGGGTACATAAGTACATATGTATGTATCGTAAATCTAAGTATGCTTAATTTAAAGACCTGGTATAAGTATAAGGCTTTGTATAAGAGTCTGAATGTGCCTAGCCTACGCTTTATATGCACCTTCTTAATTGCTCCTCACTTAATAAACCTAAGTAGACATAACGAGTTGGTGTGAGAGGGAGAGAGGGGTGACGGATATACATGTATAAGAGTATACCACGAATGTATACGAGGTGAGCTTTTTAATGTTAGACAGAGTTTTCATGCATTCGCTTTTTGGCTGCGGCGTCTGCGGTTGATGCTGCTGCTGCTGTTATCGTTATCGATATACATAGATATGTTAATTATTATCGCAATCGCAATCGCAATGCACACGCAACAGGGACAATGACAACAAATACATACATACATACATACATAGATCAACAAGCAAAGATATATATGTACATACATATGTTGTAATTATTATAAATTAAATTAAATGCTAGAAAAACGCACATGAGACTATATTGAATGTGTAAATGGAATAAAATGCAGCTGCATTCAATCAAAGAGGGAGACAATAATAAACGACAACAAGCCAACACGATTACGATAACTAAGTGAGTCGATAAAAAAACACACACATACGAAAGGAAGAAAATATTTGGTGTTAATTGAATCGAATTGATATCGGAACACAATGCATATACATTGAATATATATATTTATATAAAAACAAACAAAATGCAATATGATCTTATTGTTGGTTTCTATATATTGTTGTATTTGTTGTTGTTTATTAATAGTTTTTAATAGTTTGAATCGTTTGGCTGCTGTTGTAGTTGTTACATTAGAATTGGGTGGATTTGGGTTAGTCCAGTAATAATTCGTTACCAGTGCGATTTCAGTGATGCGACTCATTCTTCTGGACTTGGTCGATAGGCTGCGCTTGAGGCCATCAATATTTTGCTCGAACAACTATCGATTTGTTATCGAGTTATCGACAGAAGATTTGGGTTTGTTTGTATTCATGTGTTTCGATTGTTTTTTTTTTTTTTTTTTTGTAAAATAAACAATTTATATATTTTCGGTATTTTTCAGTATTTTTGCGGTATTTTTGTATATTTAAGATATGTAAGAAAAAGAAAAAAAGGTACGTATATAATAAAGTTGAAGAAAAATAAGAGAAATAAATAGGTAGAGTAGAGGAAGAAGAATAATGCGCTTAACTTAAATGCAAAAACATAGGATATATATGTATGTAAATATAGTTAAGCATCTAGGATATAAAAAGCTAATACGAAAGCCGATTTCTAGAACTTAAACAGGAAATAGAAAAAGTACAGTAAACACTCGATAAGATAGACATTTTGAAAATGAATTCAGAAATGAGATATAACAGATATATAACGCAACAGATTTCGCTTAGCGAGTGCTGACTGTAGTTGTGTGCGGCTTAGCAGCTTTAGCACGTGTACAACTGTTAAGCGGATTAACTGATTATC